GGCCCCGTGGGAGGGAGTGTTGCGGGAAGCGGGGGTGTTAGATGGGAGTAGAGAGGCGATTGAGGACCCGCGGGAGGTGTGTGATTTTTTGGAACCCGTTTGTGGGAAGGAGGTTGATGTGTGGCGGACTACGTATTATCATGTGTTGCGGGACCATGACGAGATTGTGGAGTGGGTGAGTGGGACGGGGTTGCGCCCGTTTTTGGAGCCGCTGGGGAACGGGGAGCTGAGGGAGGCGTTTTTGGAGAGGTATAGGGCTAGGTTGGAGGATGCTTATCCGGTTGCGAGGGATGGGGGGTCGGTGTTGTTTCCGTTTCCGAGGCTGTTTGTTGTTGCGGTTAGGAGGTAGGGGTCTTTACACTTTTAATCTTTCATCTTTGCTCGATCGCCTTTCCATGGTCAATGGCAGAAAGTGCTTGAATGATGGTTATGGCCAGAGCTATGATCGTATGCTAATGCTGGGCTCGGTACCACCGCGCGATCTCCCCCGTTTGGCAAAACTCAACCTCATCCCCCCATCCCTTCAGCCACCCAAGCAGTCGCTCCATCATCCCAATAACATGCGCCATCCCGCTCGTGTCCGGGTGCATCAGCACTGGGAACACGGGGTTCTCCTCGTTCTCGCGGATCCACAGGAACCGGTCCCGCCAGAGGTTCTCGACCACCCGCACGTCCGTGTACCCGTGTGAGTTGTGCGTGTGCGGCAGGTACTGCATCGGCGTCATGTCCTCCATGTACCAGTTACAGGGCACGCAGACCAGCGGACGCCGGTCCGCCGTCGTGGGTTCGATGGGGTTCATCCACGAGGACGCGGGCTTGGAGAAGTCGATGGTCGGGAGCGGGGGTCTTCGCGGCGCGAAGAACGGATGGCAGTCGTGGTCTGTGAGGGAGGCATCTACCGGCTGGTCAGATTAATGCAATCATCACTATGTCTGAGAGACTTACCATATTCGAACCCATACTCCTCCAGCAGGTCCAGCGTCGACTCCCGCAGCTGATACAGCGGCGCCCGGTACCCGACCGGCTTCTTGCCCGTCAGTCTGGTGGCGAGGTTGATGCAGCGGACGAGCACATCCCGTTCTTGTTCGGGAGTCATCTGGTACGCTCCTTCATGGGCATACCCGTGCAGCCCAATCTCACATCCCGAGTCGACCACCTGTTTCACCTCCGCTGGGAAACTCTCCGCGGAGTGACCGGGGATGAACCATGTGCAGCGATCCGCCAGATCTAGCTTCTTCAGCATTTTCAGTAGACGAGGCACGCCCACTTGGGCGGCAAAAAAGCCGGACGAATAGTCTGCCAAAACATTGTCGGGGTGGTGACCTTGACCTAGGTGTTAGTGTCTTTTATCAAGCCGGGTGGAATCACATCACTCACCCGTGCCCAGCCAGCCGGAGACCGCATCCAGGTCAATCGACACGGCAATTCGGATCTTATTCCGCTTGGGGGCCGACAACGCCGCGGGGATTGATTGAGTCGTCTGAGGTCCCGTGACTGCATTGGTGTTCCCTCCGTTGACACCCAGGCACTGACCCGAGAGATGTCCCGCAGCGCGATGAGAAGCAAGGAAAACCACTGTCCGGGCCACATCCTCCGGCCGTGCGCTATTCCGCTCATCCAGGCCAACAGCATTGATCCGAGCATTGCCATTCAACCGGACGATATCGTCCTTCACGCTCCCCACCAGCCCCGCATCACCGCCAACCACAACAACCGCCAGATTCTCGAGCTCTTTGCCCAGACTTCGCTGCGCCGTCTGGGCCTCCCGCAGAAAATGCTTCACGGCCAGAAACGGCCCCCGCACAGTCACTCGGTGGACCTCCTCCCATGTCTCCAGGGGGAGGTCCCAGATGGGAGAGTGGCTCCTTGCAGCGGGGCAGCCCGCATTCACGAGTAGGATGTTAATCGGACCAAAGCGCTTGCCGGCCAGTGCGATGCTAGAGCGAACGGACTCTTCGTCTGACCCGTTGCCTTGCAGGATGTTCAGACGTGCGTATGTTTCTGTGGGTGTGTTTGGCTGGTTGGGATCTGGCCGGTTGGAATCAAAAGCCGAGACCTTGCAGCCGTGGTCTGAACGTAGATCAGTAACAAAGAAAAAAGAAACTAAAATAAAATAGGACATAGTGGAAAAGACTAACGGAGAAATTCTTGGACTGCCCGATTGCCCACGGGACTGGCGGCCTCAGTCACAAAGACATGCAGATCCTCCAGGCCCAGAAACGAGGGATGCGACATTATACGTGGGGTCTTTCTGGGAACAATACAATATCTGGGGAAGATAGACAGCCGGGCCTCAAGAAACCTAACTATCAAGCAGGGCGCGAGCGAGTCTGTGCTTAGTAGTTGTTAGTTAGTGTTGTCGTCGGCAGATCCCTAGTAACAAGGTAGAGTGTAAGACAACTCCAGCGGTCAGAACTCAGAAGTTAGTTGCCTTAGGTAGTTGCCTCGACTTGACTCGTCACCATACAGAAAGAAGGCGGCCAGATCACGGGGTGACTAGCCCGTTAGCTGCATTCCTCGCCGTCTTGTCATTCCAGTTGTAAATTTCACGCCTGAAACGTCTATACCGTTTTGGTTGTTTCAGAAAAAATTTTTGAAGACGGAGTCATCGGACTAGGTATAAATCCTTCATGTGGGATGGGACTGGGGTGTAACCAGGGTGTTGTGTTTAAGCTCCTGCTAATGCACGCCTTGATAATCACCACTATCGATATATTCATAGCAATAAATAAACAGTTATAATAATATTCTTATGGAGAAAAACAACAATGGCGGAAAAGACAGGAACTCAATGGTTGAATTGGGGTGCAGTCGTGTCATGCCTAGGTTTCAATAGTACGGAGTACCCAGAGGAGAGATATCCATTTGCCAATATAGACAAGACGGCCCCGTTCCATTGGTGAGGTTTCACTTTTGACGGGTTTGTGGCAGACGGGGCTTAAGACTTTGTGGGAGGACGTTGGTAGTTTACCGCTGTAATTTCCTATCTAGTTAATATCTATTTACCTTGGTTTAGAGGTGAAGAGTCGGTGTCAGTGATACAACGGTGATCGACGCGGTTCATGCTTTAGTATCTTTATTGAGAGAATGTATAGCAGAGAGTAATATAGGTCACTACTCACTACTCACCTACAGTACTTAAGAGCGGCACCACGTGGATTCATGATTGTCGATCATTGATTGACCAAACCATTTGCTACTTACCTACCTAATGGATACGCTAGGCTCAGACAGAGAACAGAATACGGACTACCACGAAGGATGTACGGAGGGGAGAACGAAAGACAGAGATCCACCTTGTCAGACCAGGTCAAGTCAGGTCGGCCCCCAAGGTTCTCACGGCTTTTTTGCATCCTTCGGTCCAGTCTCGGCTCCAGCCTGCAGGATTCATATCGGATGGAAGTAGGAGTACCTAGGAAGTAGTGCGGTACTCCTTCACTATACCTACTCAAGCGCTAATCAACTAACTCCGACTAGCGATTTATTCCTACACTCTCTTGTATATTTCAACCATCCCATACCATACAGGCAGCACACAATGCAGAGCCAGAATGAACCGACATCGGTCGGGTAGCGGTACTTATCCCGTCCCGTCCATCCATCCACTCCCCGAGTGTACGTCTCCCACGGAAATAACGGACCAGACGATCTGCGTCTCTGGATCCGTGGACTGCGGTCGTGATCGTTGCCCGACTGGTGGCCAGTGGTGGGTCTCGAGCTGGATGATCCATGGGATTGGGTTCTGTATAGGGGCTGATTACAGTACGAGTTGGAGTATTAGGGTATACCTGGTATCTAGTATCTTTGAGATAAGAGCTTGGATGGAATGTTAATGCACTGTGGTAAACAGGAAGAGGTATGTGTGAGCCTGCTGAATTAGATCCATAACATACCCAAGGTAGTAAGTATAATTCAAGAACTGATAAGGTTGGGTTTGTAAAGTCAACATTGAGTCAATTCAGGTAATATAGCTATTCACTCGGTAGATGATTGTCGTCACCAACAACTAAGAAGACTAAGGTAAATATCAGGTAATACCCCACAGGGCAAACTCAAGGCAGACTTACAATCCACGGTAAACGATGGATACCTAAGTATTACCTACCAGAGAAGTGAACGCTCGGTTAACCAGCGAAGTATAACCAGCGGAGTAAACCAGCGGGGAGAATGGAGAAATAACAGATCAGATAACAATACCATATGCTGTATGTATGGTAAGTATGTAAGTATGTAAGTAAGAACCGATAACGGCCTTCGATCGTGAGATCCACAGTTGGGCGCACTGCTCAGCCGGCATCCTTTGACTTTGGCTTTGACTTTGTGTCCAGGTTTAAGGTTGCGTAGGTACTTTCCTTATACACCTGTGTTAACTCAGCCACTGAACCTATACACAAAAGTTAGCTAGTTAGTTAGTTGATTAGTTACAAAACCCCAGGTACTAAGGTAGATAAATAACACACAATGCACCTCCAACACCCCCCCCCATAGAACCATCAACATCAAACATCAACCCCGTGATCTACACACACAGTAATCTATCCAGTACGGGTGGGTTACACCCCGAGTGAAAATCCATTCCCCCTGTCACCGGCCTTAGTCCCAAGTAGTAAAAAGAAGAGGAATGGAAGGAAAGATAAAAATCCAGAACCACGGTTCACTGGCTTCGGGTTCTGGTTGGTTTGGTGGGCTGGTTTGGTTCTGCTCTGCGAGGTACCCACTTTTGCGCGCCGATCGGGTTTGGGGTCGGTGCCGGTGGTCAGTGGTCGGTGGTCGGGGGGGGTGTTGGGCGCCGGTGTTATGGTGCGGGCTGTGTTTGATGTTTGGGTTGTTGTGTATATAGTATCCCTTTGTTTGGGTATGGCTAGGGCTGTAGGTAGGTTGCTGTGTATATACATGGGTGGTTTCGAGGGGGAGATTGTTGTCCTTCCAGTGTAGTGGTGGATGATCTTATCGGATGATAAGATGCGATAAGATACTGAGTACATCGTCAGACCGGGTTTCGTCTAGTAACGCGCATAGGTATCATTTTATAAACTCAAGACTCTATAAACAAAAATTAAGTAAATTACGGCTCCGGTTGACGGACGTTACCACCATGTTCAAAATAATCAGGCGGCCGAATCTCCCGTTCCACCGTGACAGTCACATCCTGGCGGATACGGAGCGCACGTTCAGAGCCATCCTCGCTAGGCAACCGCTCGTCACTATTAGAGTAGCTGGTAAGGTCTGAGACGGGCTTCTGCGAGGTGACCATGCTGCGGTTGTAGGTGTTCATGCTGACGTCGCCGGACCGGAACTGACTGGGCGGTCCGTAAGGGCGGTAGGCGGAGGTGGCCTTGCTGTTGTTGCCGAAGCGGTACCAGTCCTTGGTGGTGCGCTTGGAGCCGCCCGTCCAGCTCTTGAGGACGGGGAAGACGTCACGGAGCAGCGACCAGATGAGTGGCAGGTTGGTGACGAGGATGGCGACGGTTGCTTCGCGGAAGTACCAGTTCATGTAGACGTAGGAGATGAGGGAGGGGACTAGGCAGTAGACTTTGTTGAGGATGGCGGCGACGATGACGAAGATGCCCATGCCGAAGAGGATTATGAGGATGAGCTTCTGCTTGAGCTGTACGCGGACTTGGGCGAGGAGGGGGATGCCGATGAGGAGCATGAAGATGTCGGCGGAGATGGAGATGCATCCTTGGACGATTTCGTAGTATTGGTAGGAGGAGCATTGGTCTGGCGCTGTTAGCTTCTAGTTGATATGGGGAGGGCTGGGTTGGACTGACAGTCCGGGGTCGGCACGGCCCAGTAATTCGTCAGAGGCCGACAGATCAAGAAGAGAGATAGCTCGACAGCGACAAACCCGAGAGCCACGTAGATGGCCAGATAGTTGACCCATCTGCGCTGTTGTAACCCGTTCCTATCGTTTGTCAGACAAATTACGTACCGAACAGCACAAGAACGGAACGTACGTGATGCGGGCATAGATCACCAGCATGCAGGCTTTCATTGACCAGACCGCCAGTATAAAGGCGTGCTCGGATACGAACACCCACTTACTCCCACTCTCTCGCTCTGCATGTATGGCCGGCGTCAAGTTCTCAATGTCTTCGTCTTCCATCAGGTTCGATCCTCCCCCGGAGGCAACCTGATTCAAGGCAACACAGAGAATGGTATACCATATCACCGCCGATACCATCAGGTAGTCATCTGCCTGGAGGTTCCGAAAGCCTAACCGTCGTATCCGTGCAATGCTGTCAAGAACGGTCAATACTGGACGAAAGTGATGAGTATTCAGATAGCACCTACAATCGCATCACAACCCCCAGAAGCCCAACCGCATAGAGCGTCCATGTTTCTTTGGCAAACTCTTGCCCGAATTCTGACCCGAGACTCGACATCTTGGCCAAACACCAATCCGTCGAGAAGAAAAGAGGGAGGTATGCAAGGGCCCGAAGACGACTAGTGGGAGGCGAGGAGTTTAAGAGGAGCCACGCACATCACCCCGAGAAAACTGGGGCCTTGAGCTGAGGATGAGGATGCAGGACTATTGGATTGCGAGCCAAACTGGGGAAGCCATGAAAAAAAGCGGTAATCAATCCCAAATACACAAACAGCGGAAGGTTCCATGGTTCCAAGCTCAAGGCCCATAGGCGAGGAGGGAAAGAGTTGCGGGTCTATGCGGACCATTTACTTGAGAAGGATTCCCTGTCAGTACGGAGTACTTCATACTTGATACAAAATACAATTGATTTCTGTAATTTGGTTTAGGTTATACTTCTCTCTCTCCCTTCATAACAGGGATGTTCCCTCCTGAAGGTATCTACTACATACCTTAGGTACTATACCTACTAGTACAGGTGGCCAGAGGCGAGATCTATCGGGCGCAAATCATACACCACGTGCGGGATTTGAACCTGGACAAAGTGGGGATCGGTTCATCTATGGTGTTTTTCTCATTGCATGATGTTTGGTATGGATTATCCACTGCTGATCACCATCCTCTCCATTTATTCTCTTTCTCTCCTTTTGTTTTGAATTTTTTCATTTATACAGAAATTCCCTCTTTTGTCCCTTTTTTTTTTTTTTAATTAATCCATTCATTTATCCTCATCAATCTCGGTGGTTTTCTCCCCCAACTCAAAACACCGGTCTTTACCCATGGTGTACACTCCCCCAACTGGCCGAGTAAAGGATGGTTCCATGGTCATCCTTCTCTGCCGTGCTTCCCCTGGAGATCGTCTGCATTTTCCTTCCCTCCCACAGCTGATCTTTTCTGTTTTCTCTCCTGTTACTGCCACGCGAGGGTACAGCTGCAGCTGTCACACTTCCAATGGCCCCCGCCTCAATCCATAGATCCTTTAACCGGCCTGACTGGATAAGTTACGTATACAGTACTAGTGGTATTGTAAAACATCGGTATTCAGTACGGCTGAGGCGCGGACTTGACAGGGCGAATGATTTGCCTGATCGATCGGGACCACCGAGTGGGTCCAAAAGGTCACATCGTGCTCGATGACGGACTGCAACCGAACCCTCAACCCTGCAGGCTGATCCGATGGCTTGGGTGGCCTTTTAACTTTTGATTTAATCAATACCCATGCCTCTCGGATAGTCTTCGGTTGTGCTTGACAATCGCATTGTGCGCTAGACTCCCACACACTCTCAGCAAACTCTCTGTCCCTGGAGGTTGCAATTTTCCTCCCCAACCAGATCCAGGTCTTAGTCATGCCTCTACCAGATCACCACGTTCGCAAGAGATCTTCCCGAATAATTGATCAATGTGAGGTGCGCTACTGCAGACAGGTGGACCACACCGGGCCTTCAATGTATTTTTGTATATTGCGACAATATGATCGATATTTATAGCACCTTCCCGTTCTAGAAGTCATCTCCTGGTGTCCAAGACAAGGTTAGATGCAGGGGAAATATTTTCCCTCAACTAAGCTTTTGGTCAGGGCTAGTGGCATGACAATGTCAGCCATGTACCAGTCATCCATGAGGTCCGATCGGGACTTGTTGCCTTTGTGATCTCGCGTCCCCCGATCGTACCTCGAGAGTGGCTATGATCACTCTGCTGTCGAGGCCTCTCGTCCAGTCGGCCTATAGTGCGCGGGTCTTTGACTTTCGGATGAACGAACCGGCCATCTACCGACTCAGGAATTCCACTTCTAGCACGAGTCAGGTCCAAGACATGGTCGAGGCTTCTCAGCTGAAAGCACACAATGGCCACAGTGGGCGACAAGTCTAGAGCTGTCCGTCTATTAAACGCCCCATTGAATGTCCATTGAATACTCTCCGATGGAAAGATTCAAGATGGGTTTAACCCTGGATGGAAGGAGATTTAAGATAAGGTTGATCTTGTACCAGAAAGCCCAGACTTCAGGGGCGATGGTGGCAACACCACCAGCCATGGCTAACAACGCCACTGACAGGGGTATCAGGGCTCGTTCCACATGAGGTTTTTGAAGGGTCGCATTGTCGTGGTAACAATGGCATCATGACCATTAGGGTTAGCCCATTGAGGTAACACTTTTTCCATCTCATTTTCATACACACAGGCACACGGTCATGATTTTATGTCATTGGGTAGAAACCGAGATGCAGGGATTAACCCAAAGACCCCCGAGCCATCTGTTGAAGCTCCCTCATCCGGTAAAGGGCGACAATCCCGCTTCTCCGCATTCCTCCGCCCTTCAACCAGTCATGGTCTGTGGTCACCACGAGAGAGGAACCCTGGTATTGATTGGATGTGGTTGATGGATTTCTCCGTCTCCACAGTGGTATCTACTAGTAAGATAAGAGGTTCAAGGGAAACGGAGGTTGTATTGATCGCCACTGAGAGACATGGATCCATTCATTTCTGACCTTTTAGCGGAGTACACCATGCTTTAGTGTCTCGCACTGGCAACACCGTCCGAAGTACTTCTTTCAATACCCTTGCATTTCTCTACCGATTCCTCTTTTTATTCAAGGTTCTGTCCGTATCGAGGGGTTTGTCCGAGCCTCCTCTTCTTTTAATTGTATACTCTTTTCGCCCACCTTTCTAAGTCGTCGTGGGACGAGCTCTCTGATCTTTGAGTTTCTTGTCATTCTTTTTCCCCCGCCGATCTTTAGTAAACATACCACAGTTGAAATCATCCCTCTTTGCTACTGTTCCATTCTTTGGTCTTGGTTTCCTGGTTTTGCATTCTCTTTCATTCTCTCATTCCTTACACTTCTGACATCCCTGACGCCTATTTCGTCCATTTTGTCCCATTCCTACATTTCTAGTCATTGTTCCACGTCCTTCTCGATTGAACGCTTCCCCCATGTTAGAGATGGATCCTATGGAGGAGTCCAAGGTGGCAGCGACGGATACGTCCGCAGAGACACGGTCGTCGACAGAATTGGTCAACGCCTCAGGCCATCGCCAAGAAGTTGAGCGGAATTTCAGCCTGATCAGCATCTGTGCCGTCGCCGTCACCACGGGAAACACATGGATTGCCCAAGGGGGTAGTATAACGACTGCATTGAGCAATGGAGGGCTATCCGGGGTCATGTACGAGTTCATCGCCGTGTCGATATGCTATTGGCTGGTCGCTGCGTCGATCGCCGAGCTTGCATCGGGGATGCCTTCGTCAAGTGGAGGTATGTCGGTTTGAAGTGTGCGCTTGCTTCATGGAGTTCGTTGTCGCTGACTAGATCGCAGTCTACCACTGGGCTTCCATCACGGCCGGCAAATGGGGACGGGTCTGTGGTTTCTTCGCGGGGTTCTGGAACTGTCTGGCTTGGATCTTGGGCGCCGCGTCCATGTCGTCCATTCTGGGCCAGCAGACCGTCTCCATGTATGCACTGATGCATCCCGGCTTTGAGCCCGAGAAGTGGCACATCTTCGTCAGCTTCATCATCTGCACCTGGATGTGCTGCTGTATCGTGCTGTTCTGTAACCGCATCCTCCCGTATATCGGCAATCTGGGTGGATTCTTCATCCTGGCCGGTGTGTTCATCGCCATCGTCGTTTGCGCCGTCATGCCCCACGTCAACGGTACGGGCTACGCCTCCGATAAGGACGTATGGCGCACCTGGGAAAATGGGACGGGATATTCGAGCCAGGGTTTCGTCTTCGTCGCTGGCATGCTCAACGGCGCTTACAGTGTGGGCACCCCCGACTGCTCCACGCATCTGGCCGAGGAGATCCCCCATCCGAGCCGCAACATCCCCAAGGCTGTCCTCGCTCAGATGAGCACGGGCTTCATTACCGGCATCCTGTACATGGTGGCCATCTTCTACGCGATCAGCGATCTGCCGAGCGTCATCGACAGCGTCTACGGCTTTCCCCTGGCAGAGATTTACCGCCAGGCCACCGGCTCTCGTGGCGGTGCCCTCGGGCTCTTGATTGTCACCTTCATCCCGACCGTCATCACCTGCGCCGGCTGCTACATCACCGCCGGCCGCACCCTCTGGACCATCTCCCGCGACCGCGCCACCCCGGGCTCCCGCTGGCTCGGCCGCATCAACAGCCGCATGCACAACCCCTTCAACGCCACCGTCGTCTGCGGTGTGATCGTCACCATCCTGGCCTGCATCTACGTCGGATCGGAGACCGCCTTTAACGCCTTCGTCGGCGCCTTCGTCCAGCTCTCCAGTCTGTCCTACTTCACCGCCATCTTCCCACACATCCTCACCCGCCGCTCGTCCTTCGTCCCGGGTCACTTCTGGATGGGCCGCTTGGGCTTCGCCGTCAACATCCTGAGCTGCATTTACATTCTGGCCTTTGTGGTCATCTTCTGCTTCCCCTACGCCCTGCCGACCGACGCCGCCACCATGAACTATACGAGTCTAATCACCGGCGGCTTGACCATCTTCGTGACCGTGTGGTGGCTCATCCGCATGAGAACCTACGAAGGACCCAAATTCGTCCCGCTGACAGACAAGGTCCTAATCGCGGATGCTAAATAAGCGTCTTGGGGGCTGTGATAAAAAGTTGGTGGTGCTTGATAGATTTTCGACCGTCGTCTTAATTTTCTTCCATGTTTTGAGCATGTCACGATATCCACATGATTTGTATATATCTAATTACATAAAACCTTGAAGTTTTAGCATTGAAATATCTCGCTTGGAGTGTCTCATTAGTGTTTCATGTTTCACACTCACACACAATTAACATAACTAATCCATACTTGCTCCCCACCTCTTCAATCATACTATACACTATACAACATCCTACCCGTAATCTATCCCCACCGCCGCTAAACAAGAACAGAACCCACTCACTCAAGGCACCCCCGCCTTATCGCCCCGATAACAATCACGTGAGGACGCGTTCCCAACCGCGTCCTCATCTTGCCCGATCCGTCCAGCCCCAATCCATCAATGAAGATGCAGATACCTCCACGACCTAATCCACCATCATCACGATGGTCTTCAAACCCTTCAAACCTCCTCTGATGAGGAAGCCCACAGTCCCATCCACGACAGACACAGCAGACGGACCAGCGGATCCCGCCCCTCCCCCATCGAAGAAACCGCGTCTGAGCGACGAGCACAAGCGACCTACCACCGAAACGAGCAGGAAGCCGTTAGTGCAGGTGCGGAATGTGCGTGAGCATCACCACGACCACCCGGTGAAGGACAAGGTCAAGGACAACTCCGTGGATTTGACGGATGAAAGGTATTT